TAAGTAAGGAAAGGATATAAGGTAGGAGAAGATTAAGGGTTAAAATTACTATTTTAAGATACTAGGGTGCTACGGACTATAAAGACCGGGGTAACTAAATAACCTTCGAAAATAAATCTCTAGCTATTTTTATTTACTTAAGAGGTTACCGCTTATAAATTACTTCTTAATTAAGTAGATCCGTTATAAGTAAAGTTAGTTAATTTTATATAGGGCGGTAGCATTTTTACTAAGTATAAGGTAGGTATAAGCGAAAGGGGGGTATTAGATAGTAGGGTATATAGTTAGATTAGGCTAGTTAAGGAGCGGTTTAAAAAGCTAGATGCCCGCTATAACTAAAAGGGGGGTTCTAAGGGTTCCCCCCTAAGGAAAGCTAAATTATAAGTATATAATATTTACCCTTTAAGCTAATATTTAGCCGTTAAGCCCCTTACCTTAGTAACTTAATAGGTATTCGAAGTATTTTAATAGTTATTAAGTAAGATACTATTAAAGTAGTATACTATAAAAGGCCTTTAGTAAGTTAATATAACTAACTAGTCCCTATAGTATTTACTATTAAAATATAGAAGAAAGGAAGAAAGAAAGAGAATCTATTATATAAGAGTATAATAGTATTTTATAGCTTTAAGCTAATAAAAGGTTTTAGAAGCTAGGCGGCGTAGCCGTAGTTAAAGCAGCTTACTTATTATAGTATCTACTCCTATATACCGTTATATATATAGACCGCTTCCTCCTTTTCTTTAGTTCCTCTTCCTTTTTCCTTTTTCCTTAAGAAGTATAACGGGCAAGCCGCTTTAATAGCAGCTACGCCGCCTAGCTTCTAGAACCTTCTATTAGCTTAAAGCTATAAAATACCGTTATACTCTTATATAGTAAATTTTCTTTCTTTCTTTCTTTAAAAATAGTAAAGGGACTAGTTAGTTATATTAACTTACTAAAGGCCTTTTATATACTATTAAGATTACTAAAGATACTAAAGATACTAAAGACTTTAAAGATACTAGAGATACGAAAATATTTAATTCCCGTTACTACTACTAGCGTTTAGCGTAGTCGCGATAGCTAACGATAATAATATATAGCTAAACGTCCTTAGCGCCCTAGTCGCTAAGATATAAAGTCTAAGAGAAAAGAATTCTTAAAGAAATACCTAGTTTAAAGAACGTTTTATTACCCTAGAACTCTAATAATACTAGTAAGCCCGTTCGTTTAAACTCCTAGAGCTAACGCTATCTATTACCCTAGCTATCCCTATTAAGGATACTTATATAGTTACTACTTATAGCTCTTAACTAACTAAGCGCCCTAAATTATAAGATATACCGAAATTTAGTAGCGATAAGGCCTAGTAGCGAAGCTAGAAACTAGAAACTAAATAAAAGCTATTAAGCACTAGTCCCTTAGTATAGGGCTAGTACGTTAACCTTACCGTTTACCTAGATCTAGTATAGGTCTAATAGGTAATTAAATAGACTAGCTACTATACGTAATTAAACGTATTATATAGACTAGCTACTATACGTTATTACGCGCGTTAAATATAGACTAGCTACCGGTCTTACGAGTTAAAGTAAGAGTAGTAATAACTATCTATATTCTTCTCTACCCGCCTAAGATCTAATAGGTTCTCTATCCTCTATATATACTATAGCGAGCGTAAGACCTTACTTAGGGCTTTAACCGAGTAATATCTTAACCTTATAATCGTGCGATAGTAGTACGGCGTATTAATAGTATTTCTTAGTGTTTTCCTTAGGTAATTATAGGTATTTTTCTATAATTTCCCCGCTATATTCTTATAGTAACTTCTTAGGGAAATCTCGGTATAGTCCCTAAGGAGCTATTATTACTCGGGAAATCGTAGTATATTCCCTATGCAATATATCCCTAGGGGAAATCTCTATAAAATGTCTATGCAATCCGCTTAGTTATCGTTTCCGGGATTTCCGGGTGATTTCCTAGAGTTTGCCCGGTAGCTTCTAGGTTCCTTCTTCCGCGGGGAGCCTTAGGGAGTTAGGGGTAACTTCCCTAGGGGAAGTAGATATCGTTATAGGTACCTAGATTATCGGCTATAGGGTGTCCCGTAATAAAAGCTATAAGTTAATAAAGAAGCCCTTAGAGATATAGAGGGCTACTTTATATATATCTTTATAAGCCTAGAAGGCAAGGCTAAAGATAACGTAACTATATTTATTAAGATATAAACCGAGAAGAGAACGTTTAATATTACTAAACTACTTAACCGCCTCTAATTATTATATAGGGAGAGGGATTATAAGTAGAGAGCTATATATAACCTATATTTAATTAAGTAAGGCGAGAATAAACTATTTACGTCTTTCTACCCCCGCTTTAAGAGGGAGATCGCTAATACTAACGCTAAGTATTAGCTAGACGATAGTAAGATTTCCTACCTCTAGGAGGTACTAAATAATAAAATAAAAGTAGCCCTTATAGGCTCTAACCCCTTTACTATTAGTAGCTATATTAAGCTAGCGAGGAGGTGCGATTTACTAAGTAGCTAGATAAAACTATTAGGTTAGTAGAAAAGGCCCTAAGGTAATATAAAGGGTTTAGATAACTATAATAACTACTAGAACTATAGAGGCTAGGCTAATTAAAAATAGTTAAGCTAGAAATATAAAATTAAATAAGAGGATATAATAAAATAAGAGCTAACTCTATAAGTATCTATAAAAGTAAACGCTATATATATCTATAGTAATAAGAATATATATAGTTACTATTAAAGGGAGTAAACTAACGGTCTAATATATATATATATAAACTCTAGTAAAAGAGGTAGGTTAGATATAAGGACTTAAGTTAGGTATTAATATAGTAGAGGAATATTGCCTTAATCGGGATATACGGGAATTAGTAGTAATTTAAGGCCACTATAGGTCCTAGATTAGTATCTATTCGTATAAATACCCCCTTAATATCGTATAGATAGATAGAAAATATATATTATCGTTTTAACTTAATTATGCCTGCCCTTATCCTTCCGCCCGCGCTCTCAGCTTGCTAAGAGTTACCAATCTAAGCGACCGGAAGACCAAGTGCTATTAGGCAAACGCGCCAAGTGGGTCGACCGGGCCGAGATGGACGCCCGTTACCGTGAAGGGCGTTGCCTTCGTTGTGGAAGAGACAACTGCAGAATCGAGCGCTGCCCATTGGCTGCGCCTATCCGACCCGTAAACACGACCCGACGCACTCAGGTCAATGCCGTGGCCCCGTCACGACCAGCGGCCACTAAGGCCGAGATCGCCGAAGACGATGCTTCTTCTCATAGCGATGACGATTCAGACTAGGGATACGCGGCGGCTGTGAGAGAATGGGATGTGAGCGGAAAAGCAAAAATGGACGGAGATCGACTTCTGTGCAGAACCTTTTCTCCTCACCCCAGTCTGGCAATCAATCTGATGCTTCTGCTCAAGATGATTTCTGGCTCGAGAGGTCCCGTTGATGACAAACAACTCCTGCTTGTATTTTCCGGCTACACATTCATGGCAGTACTATACTTCCTTCTGGTCACTACATCGAATGTACTGGAGACCGTACTTCCAGATGTACGAGGAACCAAGACGGCATCCTTTGTTGGCGACTGTTTCGCGCTTCACGTATGTGACGCGATCCTGCACAAACTCGTCTAGAGCTTTAGGATATTGAGCAGAGAAAGTATACGGGGTAGAGTTGCTTGATGGCGTCGAGGCGGGCGATGAGGGAGTTGGTGAGGGGGTAGCGACAGGAGACGCTGTAAAAGACGCCGACATCACCGCCGACTGGTCAACCGACCTTACGTCTGCGGAGTAAAAACATATAAATTTGCTGTTGCACACAATGCCAGGCAGGTATTGTCGAGAAGAAGGTCCGAACGAGTTGAGGTCTCTAGGTCTCTCTAGGAGTAATACAGCTTGAAACCAGGTAAGAAGGGAAGTCTGCAGACTGTTCTTTCTTCTTCCTAGACCACTGAGGGGTCCGGAGGATCTCCTATTCGAACGGGGACCTTTTGAGGACTCCGGCATAACTATTACTGGCTCGGGGACTTCGAGAGACTGAACTATCTATCTAATAGCTAGAAGAGCTATTTGATCAAAACTCTTATCTAGAAACCAGGAGGCCAACTTGGTTGCCTGGACTCTTCGCCAAGAATCTCTGGGTTACGCTCCGTCCCAGAGTCAAATCCGCGCCTGCGTTGTTGCCGTTCTGAAACAGCAAGGCTGCGACTCAAGATTGGGACGTCATTAGGTTAAGCTGAGAGCGCGGGCGGAAGGATAAGGGCAGGCACAATTAAGTCTAAACAATGATATATGTTTTCTCTCTATCTATACGATATTAAGGGGGTATTTATACGAATAGATACCTATCTAGGACCCGTGGAGGCCCTAAATTAGGGCCAATTCCCGTATATCCTAATTAGGGTAATATTCCTCTACTATCTCGATACCTAACTTAAGTCCTTATATCTAACCTGCCTCTTTTACCGGAGTTTATACGTGTGCGGATTAGACCGTCAGTCTGCTCCCTCTAACAGTATTAGTCGTTGATGAGAAGCTGACCCACGTATATCGTGACTCCAGGCAGTATAGGCTTTGGGGAAAGTGTGGCCATAGCCTCTGACGTTATCTATAAGTTCTGTTGGAGAATTTTCGTGTCTGATGAGAAACAACGTATTCCCGACAATCTGTACCAACATCCGAAACTTCTTATCTTGGTCGCGGACAAATCGGAGGAGATTTCCAAGCGTGCTTCCGCATGCTCTCGAGAACCCTTCCGACTTCATCGGCAGTGTGCTTGGTGCTTCAGAACAGCAGACCAAGGCAACACTTGCAGCGGCGCTCGGCAAGGTTCTCGTCATTGACGAGGCTTACGGACTGTACGGCGGAGCAACGTCAGATCCATATAAGACAGCAGTTGTTGACACGATAGTGGCCGAGGTACAGAGCGTGCCTGGAGACGATCGCTGTGTTCTCTTGCTTGGATATCAATCCCAAATGGAGGAGATGTTCCAGAACGTCAATCCTGGACTCAGCCGACGATTTCCTTTGGCGTCTGCGTTCAACTTCGAGGATTTTGATTAGCCCCAGCTTCGGCAAATATTAGATTTGAAACTCAGGCTGCAGGGATTCCAGGCGACGGACCAAGCGAAGAATGTTGCGCTGGAAATGCTGAATCGAGCCCGCAACCGTCCTCAGTTTAGTAACGCTGGTGAAATTGACATCATTCTTGATGCCACCAAGATCAGACATCAGGCAAGAGTGTCGAGCGAGAATGGCAGACATGGTATACTCGAGGCCAATGACTTTGATCTGGATTTTGATCGGGCAGAGCGCTCTGACACAAACGTCCGAATGCTCTTTAAGGGGACCGTCGGCTCAGACGACACGGTAACCCTACTTGAAGGGTATCAAGAGACTGTGAGAACTTTTAAATCCCTCGATATAGACCCTAAGGAGCACATTCCTTTCACCTTTCTATTTCGTGGGCCTCCCAGAACCGGCAAGACAACCACGGCGAGAAAGATAGGCAAAGTCTTCTACGACATGGGCTTTTTGGCAGAGGCCACGGTTAAGGAATGCTCCGCATCCGACCTCATAGCACCCTATGTCGGTTAAACTAGACAGAAGGTACGAGCTTTGCTTGACAAGGCGCTCGGAAGGGTCTTGTTCATCGACGAGGCATATCGGCTCGCAGATGGCGGTTACGGCAAAGAGGCAATGGACGAGCTAGTGGATTCTGTGACCAAAGAGAGATACTACAAGAAGCTCATTATCATTCTCGCCGGCTACGAGAAGGATATCAACAACCTCATGACCATGAACGAGGGATTGACGTCGCGGTTTCCCACGGTCATAGAATTTCGGGCATTGAAGCCTACAGAATGCATTGCGCTTCTGAGTTCGTTGTTAAAGTCTTAAACGGGTCCTCTTAAGCTTAAAGGCGTAGATCTAAGTCTTGAAATATTCGAAGCTCCTACAATGCAGTTTGCTCATGGTGTCGAGGAACTGTTCTCCAAACTTGCTGATCAGGCAAGTTGGGCAAGCGCCAGAGATGTTCAGCTCGTTGCGAAGGGAGTATTTACTATAGCTCTCAAGTGCATTTCAAAGGATAGAACTAGAGCTCTCGCTGTGGACGAGTCACTAGTTCTCTCCGAGATGCGAGCGCTGCTAACAGAGCGCGCCGCTAGATCCAGTTCCACGCAAGCACCGGTGGATCATCAAAGAGGCCAATCGCTCAAGTTCTCTTTAGGCATGCAAAGGCCGCCGCCGTCATAAGTGGCATCACGGCTTGTTGTCAATCACGAAATCAATCCCTTACACCGGAGGAGGAGGTTGGTCAAGACGTTATGGAGATGCCATAGGGGATTCAGACGCCCGCTGCCACAAGCAAGAAAATTATCCTCTGCCGCGACGCCGGAGTGAGGGATGAGGTCTGGCAGCAGCTTGTACGGGACCACAGAGCCGAGGAAGCTCGAGAAGAGGAGTATTAGAAGCTACTCGTCGCAAAAACCACGGCAAGGGACGAGGAGAGGGAGAAGATTGTCACGAGACTTTTGGCAGAGGAAAAGCGTCGCAAGAAAGAGGCAGAGATACAAAAGAAAACAGAAAGCTTGGGATAGTGACCTATGGGCTTCAGCTGGTTCAAGCAGTCGAAGGGCTACAGATATGCGGGTGGATCGCATTTTATAATAGCTCAGGCACTCATGTAAAAAGGGTCATTTACCGGGATGGCTCCGGACAGTCAGGTTCGGACAGTCAGATTGCAGGGATTGTTGCGCTCCTGACTTTCCGGAGCCATCCCGACCTCTGAGACCTCCTCTTCCTCGGTCTCAGAATTCAGCACAACGGGCATTCTTTGACTTCTACTTTATAGAATGGCTTCCTGAGCCACCAAAGCTTCACTGAGAGTCATGAACCGTCTGATCGGGTTCGGAATTGCTCTCCTCTTCTTGCTTCTCTGCAGCCGGGCCACTTCCAGTGATTATTTATAGCAGCTAATGGTCCGACCGGTCCGACCGGTCCGACCATGGTCTCAAGAAATCATCAGACCAGACCAAGTCTTTGCGGTCTAGACCAAACCGAGACCAAGACAGACCAGACCATTCCGATCACTGACAAATACTGTAACCGGTTTGCTCTATTCGGAGCCCTGTCTTGCATGCTATCTGGTATGTTCCCTTATTTGATCAGCATTGCATGGTCTCTCACCTTAGCAGGCTCGCAATCTAAGAACAGGCTGGCCCTCGACTAAGCTACTAAGGACATCACGATTATATAAAGCAGCCGCAGGCTACTGTTCTTGTTGATCTACTCAAGCAGAGATTTCATCACACATTGGACTTGGTCACTCACGACTCCCGCTTAAGCCTCTCTTCGAATCTTTCTAAAAAGCAAATACAGGCTCTCTCTAAAAGCCTTTCATCATGAAGGCTAACTTCGCGCTCGCTCTTGCGGCATGCTTCGCCAGTGGTGCTCTTGCATTCTGTTGGAGGACTCCAGTGGGATCTGGAAGGTTCCATGGATATGGCGACTCCGTCGCCTGAGTCTATATAGACTCGGATCATCATCACATCTGTAGCTAGATAGACAAGCATCAATAGATTTCTCACTCATACTTTCCAATCCGCAGGTGCGGACAACAGGTTATGACCCCTCGCGCTTCTACTTACTCAACTTAGGCTCCGAACAAGGTGTATCGGAGCCAACTCCAGTTCACGGCAAGACATCGCCTGAACAACTTGCACTCCAACTGAGGCAAACTATCTGGATTATCTTCAGCCAAAATGACTGAAGCTCTCTTCAACTTCCCAAAATTCCCATTCTCAAGGGAGAGTCAAATCTTGAAGAATGGAAGGATATGCTCATTCAGACCCTGGAGGTCCAGGATCTGAAGATTACATCCTCGCAGAAGTCCCGGAGCCCGTGGACCATGCAGAACGAGAAAATGGAAGCGTGACCGAGCAAAGGTCATGCTGATCATCAAAGGTTCTATTTCACCAGTTCAGACGACCCTCGAAGCGGCCGGGTGGAGCCGATTCACAGAGAAGGATCCAAAGGTTCTTTATGAACTCATTCAACGAGCAATTCCGAAGGTTTCCGCAGATGCGACCGGAGACCTCGTAGCCGAGTTTGGCAGCATAAGCCGCAAGACTTTCGACAGCTTGATGGCTTACCAAACCCGCATTCAGTACCTAAAGCGACGCACAAAAGAATTGAACTGCGGCTTTGACGACAAAGCATGCCTGTGGTTCACCATCAGAGGACTTCGCGAAGTGTATCCCCAGTGGTATACCTTCCTTGAACGAGACATGAACAAAGGCTCTCTGACGTGGGAGAATCTCATGACAGAGATGTACGCTGAAGCCAACAAGGAAAAGACAGCTATGGCGCTCTCAACACTATCCACGAACAGCAACGGAGCATCTGCTACTCAACGCACCTCAGGTCCCTCCGCTCAATCTCAAAAACCCCAGTCTGAGCAGACTAGAAGATTCTGCCCGACTTGCAACAGATCGCACTGGGTTGGATTACCTATGTGTTCCTTCTGCAGAAGACATCACCAAGGCGGAGACGCGGAGTGTTTTGCAAAGCACCCGGAAAAACTCGAAGAATTCCGTCGCCGGAGAAACAGGCAGACGAACGTCGAGCCTGCCGGAGAAGAAGTTTCAATCAATCAGAATGCTTCTCAAGCAGCATTTACTTTCAACAGCGGCCTCATCGGAATGTCGATCACGCCTGAGGCGGCTCAGCCAACCAAACTAAGCCGAGCTGTTCAGCATGCCCTCAAGAGTCAGACGCTTACCCGTGACAGCATCATTGATGACTCGGGAGCAAGCAATCACACCTTTAACGACCTAAAATGGTTTAAGGATATTAAGGAATTGCCACAGGAACTCTCGTTCACGTCAGCCAACGGGGGGGATCTAGTAGCCAAGGCGATAGGCACAGCTTACATACGGGCCAAACGGTCAGACGGACTGGTGACCGAGATGAATCTCGGCCGCTCAGTCTATTGTCCCACCGCGCCAATCAATCTTCTTAGCTCAGGTCAGCTGAGAGCTGATGGAGCGATTCGCGACGGCTTCAAAGACTGCATCATCCACAAGGACTCCAAGACGGAGATGGCCATGATCGATTGGATCAACAATGTGGCAGTCATCCGATCGGAAACGCCGACGACTCGACAACAAAACCAGGGCAACATGCTCCTGGCAGTATCTTATCAAGTCATGCACGAGCGATTGATGCATGCATCGCCAGAAATCGTTCTCAAGGCCTGTGAACAGGCAGGGATCAAAATCTCAAACAGGAAGCAAAGGAACACCATTGCAGGACATGCCACCTCGCAAAGTCTGCCCTAATCGTCAGTCGTACGCCGCCTGTGCGACCAGCCCGACCGCTGAGTCTCGTTCGGATCGACCTCATCGAGAACAAGCCACTAGGTCATCGCCAATTTCGCTATACATGGCACGCAGTAGATGCCCATTGTGGATACCACTGGGTCTGATTTCTTCGACACAAAGACGAGCTCTTTCAAGCTACGAAAGATTTTGATGCTTACATTCAACGAACAACTGGATATCAGGTCCAAGAATATGGCATGGACAATGATGTGTCTTTCAACTGGACAACAGAGTTGATACCCTGGGCCCGGGCAAACGGAATCAGTCTCAAACTGACCGTGCCTGGTACACCCAGACAGAATGGATTGACAGAGAGGGCTGGATCGAAGATCACACAGCTCGCTCGATGCATCATGATTCACTCCAAGCTTCCGGAATTCTTGTGGCCCTATGCTCAAGAATCCGTCGTCAAAGTTCTTAACCTGCTTCCGTGCAAATCTAATCAAGGACTCTCACCTCATGAGGTCTTTGCCAGTTTTCTCCGAGTTAACGAGGAACTTCACAAACCCTACATTCGCCACCTACGCACGTTTGGTTGTGTTGCATACGTACACATCAAGAAAGAACGGCGCGTACAGGCCAGGAAGATGGCTCCAAGAGCTGAAGAAGGAAAGTTAGTTGGCTGGGAAGGCATTCATGGCAAAATTTACCACATTTACGTGCCAGCTCGGAATCGAATCGTCCGGGCATGTGATGTTCGCTTACGAGAAACCTCCAGGAACCACAAAAGTCGGCAAGCGCCGAAGAAGTCGATACAATTGAGTACGAAGCTACGCTTTCGACGAAGTTCAAGAAGAAGAAGCTGGAGCAACCATCGTAGAGCGAATATCTGATTCGCTGTCAACCATCGAACCGGGAGGAAGGACGACTGATAAGGGTCCGTCCATCGAAGAAACGCAAGACCATCATCTGCCAACGCCGGAGATAACGCAAGAGCTGGATGAATCCCACGATTCTTCTGTGAATACTCTGTCAGACTCCGAAGACAGCCAGGAAATTGACGGACTGGCTGATGAACGGCCAATTCCTCCAGAAACAAGCGAGACTTACACCACGCCGGTCGTGAGTTTACCTCGACCGAGTCGTCAAAACGCGCAGCGACCCGCAGGGTACTATCAAAAGCTTCATCACGGCAATTCGGGAGATCAGGCTTTAGCTTTGTTACCCCCAGACGTAGTCTCTCCGATAAACCGTCTAGAAACACTTTGTTTGACAGCAATGAAGGCGGAAAGCCTTGCAAACTCGCTGCAAAGGCTACCCGTTCCTAAGTCATACAGAAAGGCTCGAGTGTCCCCAGATTGGGAGACGAAGTGGAAACCAGCATTTGACAAGCAGTACAAGTACCTCCAAGATCGAAGTGTATGGACACTAGAAGAATTACCCCACGATGCAAAACTACTTCCCGGAAAATGGGTTCTCGACGAGAAGAAACTTCCGACAGGAGAACTGGTCGGCAGAGCCCGCTGGGTTGTCTGTGGGAATTTTGAGGAACACGACAGCTGGGCAGTCCAGGATGTGTATGCTGCCGTTGCAAGCACGACATCAGTCAAAATATTCTTAATATGGACAGCAATTCTCGACCTCGAATGTTATCAGTTCGACATCGCTACAGCCTTTTTGAATGCGGACATACCTGAGGGCACGAATATCTATGTTATGCAGCCAGAAGGCTACGAGGACGGTACAAGTAGAGTTTGTCTTTTGAAGAAAGCTCTATACGGCCTGCGAAAGAGCCCACTTTGGTGGTTTCTCACAATCACGCCCATTTTGAAGACCCTGGATTCGAGCCCTTGACGCGGATCTCTGTCTATTCAAGGACGAAAAGCGAGGCTGCATTCTGATCCTCTATGTGGACGATATGCTAGTCGCTGCACCAACAAAAGAGACAGTCTTCCACGTCAAGGAGCAGCTCCAATCGTTCTTTGAGCTGAAAGACCTTGGTGAAGTGAACGACTTCCTCGGATTTACGGTCATCAGAGATAGGCCGAACAGGCGCGTACATCTCTCACAGGAGAAGTTTACCGAGAAAATCATATCCAAGTATGGATATCAGACGCTCAATGCAGCAACAACACCATGGCCCCGAGGATTTGGGCTTCCGTCTACTTGGGCGTCCGACAAATCTCTCCAGAAATCCTACATCAAACAGACTGGCTCACTAAACTTTCTTTCAACTGGGACAAGACCCGACATTACGTACACAACAAACCGTCTTTGCGAAGCTAATGCTGGGCCGTCTGAACAGCATATGCAGTTACTTAAACACCTTTTCAGGTATCTCATTGGTACCAAGAACTTATCTCTGTGCTTGGGTGGAAAATACTCCATTGCCAATCTACCACTTCGCCTTCGCGGACGCGGCGTTCGCCGACCGAATACCGACACGCCACTCGACTGCTGGCTATGTCGTTCTTCTTGCAGGTTGTCCAATCTTGTGGAAATCTAGCAGGCAGACAATCGTAGCGCTATCTACAACGGAAGCTGAGTTCATGAATCTCACACCAACTGGGCAAGCTTTGCTATGGATAAACCGCATTGTTCAAAATCTTGGGATTCAATCTGCAAACCGACAATCATATTTACAGACTCGCGCAACGCCCAGCTCACGGTACTCAACCCAATGAAATCGGCACGAACCCGCCACATCGACGTCCGTTACAAATGGATCATTGACCGAGTAACTCGAGGAGACTTTGACATCCAACATGTCTCAACACAGGACATGACAGCTGACGGACTGACAAAGCCACTCACCCAGGACCGTCACGTTGCGTTTGTTCGACAACTTGACTTACCTGTCTTGCAAACACCTGATCCTGCATTCCAACTTCAGGCATTCGATCTTGTTTTCATCTAGCCATGTCTGGCTACGGGGTGTTGGAGGACTCCAGTGGGATCTGGAAGGTTCCATGGATATGGCGACTCCGTCGCCTGAGTCTATATAGACTCGGATCATCATCACATCTGTAGCTAGATAGACAAGCATCAATAGATTTCTCACTCATACTGTCACGGGCTGTGCCCGGCTGGTGGACCCGGTTGTACCGGGTCCGGTGGGTCGTGCTCCGGTGGCAACACCGGCCCCGCTCCGCGGGCCCAGAAGCTGCGAGAACATTCCGAGAAGGGCAATATAAGCTCGCACTCGAGGCTACGCCTCGAGTTCAGCTTCTTTCCTCCTTAGCTCTAGATAGACAACATCTAGGCACCTGCTTGTTGAATAAACTCCGGGCCAGCCTTTCACATATCTAGAGCTCCTTCTAAATACCGCAAGCTGCAGACTGCTCGTCAGGATGGACCAGCAGAGTGAGAGCCCAAGTCTCCAGCAGCAATGGATTGACCAACGCATTCAAGAAGCGGTCAATGCGACTCTCAGCCCTCTACAGGACCAACTTTCCTTGCTGATGGAGCAACTCGGGCGAGCGCAGCCGCAGAGCGCCGACTTGCAATCGCCGCCAGTGGCACGAGGATTGGGCGAGAGCACGCCTGGCTTGGGCACGCCCCTCCCCAAAACCTGCGGTACTGGAATGCGGAAACCGTTGCCCAACCCACCCAAGTATGACGGCTCACGGAAGAGCTACTCCTCCTGGGCCAGGCAGATGCGAGACAAGCTGGACCTTGATGCACACTACTACAGTGGAAATCGCGAACTTTGGTACCTCATCAACTCATGTTTGGACGAGCGACCACAGCAAGTGGTCGCTACCTTTACGCCGCGGAGGCCCTGGGGTAGCTACGACCCCAAGAGTTCATGCGATACCTCGACCGAACCTACCAGGACAGCAACATCCAATCCCGCGCTGCTGCCACGCTGAGAACTATGCGGCAGCGCGAAGACCAACCTCTCGCGTCCTTCCTTCCCCGATTCGAACAGGCATTAGCTGAAGCCGGGGGAGCAGACTGGCCGGACAGTGCAAAGATCGTATTTCTAGAGAACGCAATAAATGCACGCCTCCAAGAGAGTTTGGTCACAGCCGTCCTACCCGACGACTACCAGGGATGGCTTGCGAGAGTTCAGGAAATTGCGGGCAGATTGAGAGACTGAAACCCGGTAGGCAGCCGACGTCGACTGAGCGGACGCCTCAACAGCTACCAAGGCAACGACCCAAGGAGGAACCGGAGGACCCTGACGGAGATGTTAAGATGACGGACATCAACCGTATTGGCCACGAGTCGAAGGGTCGTCGACATGTCGATAAGAAGCCGAAGGATGAGCGCCGCTGCTATCGCTGTGGTCGGACGGATCATCTTATCGTGGACTGCCCAGCCCAGGTGGTCTTTCCTGGCGAAGGGAAGCAACAGCGACCTAAAGCTGCGCGCATGAAGAAGCCCGATGCCGCAGATGATTCGGAATCAACCGCAGCATCCAGTGAGGACGAGTCGGCGGGAAAAGACTAGCCCCGGGGCGAAAGCGGGCGCCGGGGCCTGCAAAGGCAGACATCCGGGACTGGGAAGCGTTCAAGCCACGAATGAATAGTCGGACTGTATTAGTCAACGCGCGGGTAAACCGAGGCTATCGAATACGCGCCCTTGTCGACTGTGGATGTGACTGCTATGCCGTGATCGACGAAGCCCTTGTTCGGAAGCTGCGGATACCCTTCGTCGACTCGAAACCACGAGAAATTGGGGGATTCTCAGAGTCAGCGAAGAGTGTCATATCCCCAGGGTCGTGGCTGTTGTGGTCGAGACAGCTGGATTTGACGAACGTGTCTTTGATACGTGATCCCAAGCCTGGGCCAGGACATGTTCCTCGGCCGGCCTTGGATGGAGAGAAATCACGTCGTGTACGATGCTGCCAAGCAGCGAATGTACCATGGGAGGGCAGGTGTGACGATACGCCTCATTGGGCAGGAAGAGCCCGCCAAGATACGCGCGATTCGAAGCGCAAGACTCGTGTCGGCAGCCGTATTCACGGCGGAGTGTCGACGCGCAAAGAGACGCAAGAAGTGCAACGCGATCTCGATTCATGCAATCAGTTTGTCGGATATAGAGAGGGCGCTTCAGCCGAAGCCGCCAGTCGATCCGAGCGAGAAGGTCCCGGCAGAAGTGCTGAAAGAATTCCGCGACCTATTCTCACCAGGAGAGGCAATGAAGCTGCCGCCACATCGACCGGGTGTGGATCATGAAGTCAACCTGCAGCCTGACAAGAACGGCAACGAGCCACCCTTCCGTGGGGCCCACTCTACAACATGTCACGAGAAGAGCTGTTGGTCTTGCGAAAGACCCTGAAAGACCTGCTGGACAGAGGATTCATCCGAGCGAGTAGCTCAGCGGCTGCCGCGCCGGTGCTGTTCGTGCGGAAGCCGAATGGAGGGCTGCGATTTTGTTGCGACTACCGAGCGCTGAATGCAATCACCAAGCGCGACCGATACCCACTGCCCTCATCGCGGAGACCCTGCAGAATCTGGCCAAGGCTAAGTGGTTCACCAAGTTGGACGTGGTGGCCGCTTTCCATAAGATCCGCATGGCTCCGGGACATGAGGAAAGACTGCATTTCGCACGAGGTTTGGGCTCTACGAGTGGCTCGTGTGCCCTTTCGGCCTGAGCGGCGCCCCGGCATCATTCCAACGATACATGAACAGTGTATTGCGCGAATGGCTGGACGACTTTGTCACAGCGTACCTGGATGATGTACTGATCTACTCGAGCGGTTCGAAGGCGGATCATGAGGCTAAGGTGCGACGAGTTCTCCAAGCACTCGCCGACGCTGGGCTGCACCTAGACCCAGCGAAGTGCGAGTTTTCGGTACAAGAGGTCAAATACCTTGGGTTCATCGTCAACGCAGGAAAGGAATCGCCTGCGACCCGAAAAGCAGCGCGCCATCCGCGAATGGGAGGCCCTGACCACGGTGAAGGGTGTCAGAAGCTTTCTGGGCTTCGCCAACTATTACCGGATCTTCATCCCCGACTATGCCAAGATCACGCAGTCTCTGGATGCCCTGCTTAAGAAAGGAACTGCCTTTCATTGGGGACGAGCGGAGAACGAGGCGTTTCAGGAGCTGAAGCGACGATTTTGCGAGTCACCGGTGCTCAAGCAGTGGGACCCGAGCCTCCTGACCTTTTGGAGACGGATTGCTCAGGCTACGCATTGGGAGGCGTCCTGTCGCAGGAAGGCCCAGATGGACGTCGACACGCATGCGCCTTCTTCTCGAAGCGACTTTCGCCAGCGGAGTACAACTATCCCATTCACGACAAGGAGATGCTTGCCATCATGAGATGTCTCGACAACTGGAACGCCGAACCTAGGAGCTGCGGCCCATTTACAATCCTTACCGATCACCGCAACCTGGAGTATTTCATGACACGCCAGAAGCTCACGGAACGGCAGAGCCGTTGGGCAGCCGAATTGTCCCAGTTCGACTTCAAGCTCGAGTATCGACCGGGAAGCGAGGCTGTCGTGCCTGATGCGTTGTCCCGCCGTGAACAAGACAAGCCACAGGGCATTGACGACGAGCGGGAACAAGGAAGAATGATACAGTTGATACCGGATAGTGCCATTCCATCATCGACAAGAGCATGTATCAACGCGATGAGTTCTGACTGTTCAGAGGCATCCACCCTGCCGAAGATGAAGGTCTTCGAGGTAGCGGACCTGCAGCAACTCTGGGACGAAACGGTGGCGAAGGACTCGATATTCCGGGCAGCCTATAAGGCAGTCCGCGATCGCGAGCGTGCCTTCCCGCCCTCGCTGGGCCTGAAGATCCAGATTTCAGAATGTGCGATCGACGCAGGCAAAAGGCTGACATTCAGAGACCGTATTTGGGTGCCGGGTGGATCCGGAGAGGAGGGTAACCAGGAGGAAGCTGAGAAAGACCAGTTGAGAACCCGCATTGTGCAGCAGTCGCATGACTCTGTTGCGACCGGTCATCCCGGCAGGAAGGTACGCTGGCTATTGTGGCTCGGCGATTCTACTGGCCTGGGCAGTCCCAGCTGGTTCGCCGGTACGTAGCCAATTGCGACACCTGCGGCAGAGCACACATCTGGCGCCAGTCGAAAAGGGGATTTCTCAAGCCTCTGCCGATTCCAGATCGACCCCGAAGCCATTTGTCCATGGACTTCATCACAGATCTGCCGCCTACTGGACCGAGCAAGGCAAGGTACCTGTGGGTGATTGTGGACAGACTGACAAAGGCTGTGACCCTCGAGGTGATGGACAACATGGAAGCTGAGCCGTGTGCAAACCGTTTTCCAGTGTCATTACCGATTTCACGGAATGCCACGGTCCATCGTCAGCGACCGCGGGAGCAACTGGCTAAGTAGGTTCTGGAAGAGGTTCTGCCGTCTTGCAGGTGTCACGCAGAAATTGAGCACGGCCTATCATCCTCAGACGGACGGAGGGCCAGAGAGAATGAACCAGGAGATCGAGGCCTACCTGAGAGCCTACGTGTCGTACGTGCAGGACGACTGGGGAGAACTGCCCCGCCGCGCAGCTGGCACTCAACAATCGTGAATCCGCAGCGACCAAGATCAGCCCTTTTTCGCTGAGCATGGTTACCACGTCGATCCCATCAGCGTCGAGGAATCGGAAGAGCCACCGAGGCATAGAGAGGAAAGCAGAGCTGATAGCCTACTCAGTCGCCTGCAGGAGGTCAATGAGTACATGCAAGCAGTGATGGCCTCTCACAGCAACAACAAGAAGAGGCTGCCAACGCAAAGCGACAGCCTGCGGAGCGATTTGAAGTTGGTGACAAGGTGTGGCTCTCGATGGCAAACTACAGATCGCCACGACCGTGCAAGAAGCTCGACTGGCTGCATCACAAGTACACAGTCACGAAGGTAATTAGTTCGCACGTTGTTGAGCTCGATGTTCGTGGCTCAATTTACCCGCGATTTCATGTTGACCTTTTGCGGCGGGCGCATCAAGATCCGGCTCCTGGCCAAAAGGTAGATGACGCACAGCCACCACCGGTACAAGATGAGTCCGGCACGGATCTGTGGGATGTCGACGAGATCCTCTGCGCGAGATGGAAGAAGCGCGGACGAGGGGAATTCAGGCAAGCACTAGTGCGATGGACGGGCTACGCAGAGCCGACTTGGGAGCCAGTTGAGTGGTTGCAAGGAACAATTGCGATGAAGGCATTCGAGGACAAGTACGGGCCAATCAAGACCAATGATGGCCCTAGGAGAGGTACGAGACGCTGGCAGGAACGCAAGAACCCCGCAGACGCCGACCTGGTCGGAGGGGACAGGGGGTAATGTCACGGCTGTGCCTGGCTGGTGGACCCGGTTGTACCGGGTCCGGTGGGTCGTGCTCCGGTGGCAACACCGGCCGCTCCGCGGGCCCAGAAGCTGCGAGAACATTCCGAGAAGGGCAATATAAGCTCGCACTCGAGGCTACGCCTCGAGTTCAGCTTCTTTTCCTCCTTAGCTCTAGATAGACAACATCTAGGCACCTGCTTGTTGAATAAACTCCGGGCCAGCCTTTCACACATACTTTCCAATCCGCAGGTGCGGACAACACATTCCCTGTCAATGCCCAAGAGAATGGAGCAGAGCTTTCCGTGGGACAAGCTATCGGACGTGCTCTCCAAATGAATAGCGACAAAGTCCTGATGAAGAGGTCGTCGCGCGTCCATAAGAAGAGGTATGGCGGGGACGACGACGACGACGACGACGACGACGACGACGACAAGCCGCCCGCACCTCCCTCACCTCAAATCCCCGGCTACTAAGAAAGTTGGGGGGTTCGCAAAATGTCTAATAGCGTTATGATTCGAAGACTACTCTCGTTGACTGGCTTGGAAGAATTCAGGATTAGGCAAGCAGGCTTGCAAATAAATAAATCAACTCAAAATCGGGCCTCCAATTTTATTTTATTTGGAGATATGATTATTCAGCCGTAGGCTGACTCTAGGGAGCCAATAACGTAATCTACTCCCTACCCGTACAGACCCCCCACTCGGACAGAAATTCCCCACCAATGCTACCAGCACCTCACCACGACAACAAACTGCGCATATAGAAGATAATTTATTGCTAGAGGCAAGTAAATTAATTTCGGACTATCCATTACACGTACGGGAAGTTTGTTTGAAGGACCTGAATTTCCTACGTCTGTGTGGCGCACGCTATCTTGGGGCCCTTGGCCCCTCCTCTTCTATCTGTCGTTGACCCACTCCTCGTCTTCTCGCCGTGGCTCGGCCCGCTTCTCCCGTCCTTTTCTTTCCATCGCTTGACTCCCCTTCTCTCGCGAAGAGAGGGTGCAAGTAGTGAATAGATTATTTTTCTTATCCTTAGATTCTTCCTCCTCCCTAATAAAAAGTAACTTCTTATAGTTCTATCACCTATAGCTGCCTTAGGTGGCGATGTCGCTACCTAGGCCGCCTAGATAACGTTGTTATCTAGAAGGTTCGATACTACCGCTTAATAATAATATTATTTATCCTTCTTAGTTACCTTTACTAAAGTTAGCCCGATTAAGTAACCTTTAGACCTAGATCGTTAACCCGTTTTTACGTTATACCCCCTTAGCTATAGCTTATCCCGATTAGGTATAGCTAAATAGCCTTTAAGGGCAACGATCGAAGGGCCGATCGACCGGTATAAATAGGAGATACGAATGCTTTACCTTCCCGGCGGCATAGGCTTCCTATAGTCTTTGATCTAGTCTCGGAGGTCTTCTAACCGGGCCTCTAGGCGTAGCCGCTCCGTGAGATCTTTAAGCCGAATTATCCTTTAGAACTCGAAGAGTTTCTGCTTTAGCAGAGTTTTAGTTAAGCTATCGGCTCTTATATATACCGTAGGGACCTAATAGACCCGGATTCGGCCTTCCTAGCATTCCTAACGTAGCTAGTATTAATAGATATCGATATACCTTAGCCGTATAGATAGCTTCGCGCTTCCTTCCTCGAGGAGCCTAATTATCTATAAGTTATTATACTCTACTAGCAACGGTAAGGGGATCTAAATCCGTAAAGACGTTAATAACTAGCTTAAGAAGATTACTTCTTTTAAGGCTTCTAAAAGAGCTAGGAGCTCTGCCTTCCGTATATTTAAAAGGTTCTTTAGCTACCTAGTAACAGTCCGGTTTTTACTCCGATATTACTATAGCTGCTTAACGGCCCTATTTTTAGGACGATAGTAAGAATAACTTCGTAATTTATTATAACTATCCTTAGCGATTAGCTAAAGTAAAAGGAATAAGGGCGATAGTTACTACTATAGATAAGTCGAATACTATAAGTAAGCGTAAGCCTAAGATAGCACGTATCTAAGAGACTATTAACCCTAACGTCGAGAATCTTTATTAAGCTATTAAACGTGTTCCTAGAATATAATAAGAGTCTCTATATTATAGACGAAGCTAGGAGGAAGTAACTTATTTAATATCTTATAAAGAGAGCTAGGCAGAGGGTATAAAGGGGATAATTAGGACGGTAGGGATAGTTAGGGTATAGAAGTATTAATTTATTATTATTCTATCTTAGATAGCCTCCTCCTTATAGCGATAAGAATTAGCTAGGTATCTATAATAGCTTCCTTAAGGGATTTATAGTTACTTATAAGGTAATATTTCGTTAGATATTCTAAGTCTACTAGAACTACTTTTATTAGTCTATTTTACTATCTTAAGTTTAAAAAATATATAAATAGTCGCTTTAGCTACTTCCTCCTTATAGCTACTAGTCTTAATATATTATAGCGCTATAAACTTCTTATAAAGTTAAAAGCGTATAAGGTAGTTACCGACTTAAAGTATAGTTATTTCCCTTAGAGTTTAGGTATAACGTAATAATTTAGATTATAAAAAGCTAGGTTAGTCCTAAGTATATATCGAAGCTTAGTAAATAACCTAAGCACCTATAGTATAGGTCTAGGGGCACCTATATTACGCCTCGTTAACGTTAATAAAGCCGCGGCTTAGGCTATGCTTCGTCGCTAGTACCGACGCTCCCTCTATATATATTACGCCCCTCGGCCTACTCGTCTCGCCTCTATATACTTCCTTAGCCTCGAATAGGCGGGCGCGTTCCGGCCTCCTCCCTTAGCACTACGTCGCGATAGTTAACCGCGTAGCTACGACGACTTCTAGCACTCTACTATAGCGACGAAGCCTCTTCCGGCTCGCTTAGATATATAGCTTCGGCCACGTAAGAATAAGCCGACGAGTCGAATTAAGATAACGCTACGCTCTAAGCCGCGCGATTACGTCCCCGGTAGCGGCCCGCCGCTCTAGGCTATATGCCTCCTCCCCTATATTGTCGAGGCATTCTGCTGCCCTCGCCGGGCCCGGCTACGGACGGCAAGCAGATATCGAAAAGTATAACGTACGTTATCGGATAGTACGACCTCCTCGCTGCCTGGCACCTAGTCCTGCTATAAAGATCCTCGACTACGTTTCGCCGCGAGCCCTTAAGGAATAGGAGTCTAATATAGAGGCAGAGCTCGACGGGGACCGTAAGAAGCTAGCCTATAAAAAGCTCGCGGGCGGCGAGAAGTAGGGCTAACCGCCCGCCTATACCGGCATTAAATCGGCTGCCGTTGCTAAGCCCGGATATAGGACCCCCGACGCGTATTAGAATAGGCGTAATAAGCCTATCTACGTCGTATAGGACTAGGCTAGAAGGCTTTAACGGGCTTTCTAACGACGATAGCGGAATCCCCTCTATATAGATAGCTCGCGAAGCCCGCTAGTATATAGCTAACGACTTTAAAGTCGACGTTATTAATAATAGTAAGCAGTCTACGCTTAAATCGGAATAGGGCACTTAGGGGCTTAGCGCTATTACGGTTAATAGCACGTTTAAAGGAGCGTATTAGCTAGCCTCGGCCCTAATAAGTCGACCTACGCTACCTTTATTTATCTTCTTTAGTATATAAACGCCTACGGGCTCTTAAAGTTAAATATTAAGCCTATATAAGGGGCTATGCTATATAGAGTTACCCGCCCCCGCCCTAGGAGACTTTACTCGCGACTAGTTTTAGATAATAATAGGGAGTATACGTAGG